TGCTGTTACTGGTGCTGCTGCTGTTGCTGCTGCTGTTAGTGGTGGTGTTGCTGCTGTTATTGTTGTTGCTGCTCTTATTGTTGTTGCTGCTGCTGTTGGTGCTGCAGCAGCTGCTGTTGGTGGTGTCACTGTTGCTGCTGGGTCGGCATTCGTTGCTGCTGCTGCTGCTGCTGCAGTTTCTGCTGCTGCTGCTGCAGCAGTTTCCGATGCTGCTGCTGCAGCAGTTTCCGATGCTGCCTCTGCATTTGTCGTATTTGCTGCATTATTTGTTGTTGCTTGCAGCTACTGCTGCCGCTGTATCACCTGCTGCTGCTTCTGCTGCTGCTGCTGCTGTTTGCATGCGTGTGTTGTTGCTGCAGCTGCTGCAGCAGCAACATGCTGCGAAGCAGCAACATATGAATACTGCACAAAGAAGGCTTCGTTGCTGCTGTCAGCAGCAGCATTTGGTCGTCGCTTTTTAGATAATGAAGGAGACGAAAATACAGAAAAACAATTCATTAAAGCATGCAGAGACATCAGGAAAGCTTCCACGGGTTTAGGGTTTAGGGTTTAGGGTTTGGGAGTTAGGGGTTGTTATAGGATTTCTGCCTGTCTTAGAGCGGCTCCTATCGATACGGGTTTAGGGTTTAGGCTTTAGGGTTTAGGGCTTAGGGTTTAGGGTTTAGGGTTTAGGGTTTAGGGTTTAGGGTTTAGGGTTTAGGGTTTGTGCAGGATTTGCACTTGTTTGCGGGGGCCTCCTTTGGACATGTCCCTCACCGTCGCGCAGCTACGCAATTTAACTCTTGCTAAACTCGTCAAAAGAATTGCAAAGTCTGCTGCTGCTGCTGCTGCTGCTGCTGCTGCTGCTGCTGCTGGGGTTGCTGCTGGTGTTTTTGTTGTTGTTGCTGCTGCTGCTGTCGATGCTGCTGCTGTTTGCATGCGTGTGTTGCTGCTGCTGCTGCCTTTTGTTTTTGCTGTTGTATTTGGCGTTATTGTTTTTGTTGCTGCTGTGCTGCTGTCTTATCATTAATCATTTATCATTTAGGGTTTAGGGTTTAGGGTTTAGGGTTTAGGGTTTGTGTGCAGCCGGCAGCAGCACTTGCTTGCATTAAGAATCTGCAGCTACACAGGGAACTCTAGCCGCGATGTTTTGCTGCTGTGGGCTGTAGCAAAGATATCTTCGTCTGCTGCTTTAACTGATGAAGAGTTAGCAGAAGCAGTTTGCTGCAGATTGCATGCAGCAGCAACGCTGCCTCCTGCTGTTGCTGCTGCTGCTGCTGCTGCTGCTCCTCTTCCTGCTCCTCCTGTTGTTTCTCCTGCAGCAGCAGCAGCAGCAGAAGAGAACGGCAGCAATACGCAGCTGCAGCGCGGCCCTCTTAAATGCATGCAACGCATGCAGCAGCAGCAGCAGCAGCACTTGCTGCTGCAGCAGCAGCTGCTGCAGCAACCACTACCATTCGGAATGCTTTCACTTTGTGCTGCTCAAGCAGGAAGACCCGTATTAGCTACGAGGCTTGCTGCCTTTGAAGAAGAACCTAAGGTAAACCCTAAACCCTAAACCCTAAACCCTAAACCCTAATCTGCTGTCACTCCTGTTGCTGCTGCAAACAATGCTGCTGCTGCTGCTGCTGCTGCTGGTTTAGCTGTTGTGTGGGCGGCTGAAATTCGCTGCTCGGGCTGCTCTCACTGCTGTTGCTGCTGCAACTGATGCTGCTGCTGCTGCTGCTGCTGCTGCTGCTGCAGGCGCAAGTGACGTTGCTGCTGAAGCTGGCGAAGGTCTCACTGGCGACAAAGAAGGCAGCAGAAGCAGCAGATCGGGATTTGCTGCTGCTGTGCATTGCTGCTGCTCTTGCTGCTGATGCAGACAGTGTAGATGGAAGGTAGGCTGCTGCTGCTGCTGCTGCTGCTGTTGCTGTTGCCGTTGCTGCTGCAGCGTTTGCTTTTTTTTCTCCTGCGTTTGGCTCTGCTGCTGCTGTTGTTCGCCTCTCTCCCCCGACAGTCCAACGGTTTAGGGTTTAGGGTTTAGGGTTTAGGGTTTAGGGTTTAGGGTTTAGGGTTTTTTGTAGGATGGACATGAGCCAGCTGGTGGATGCTTTGAAGGATATACCCGCAGCACAAAATGCATTTGATATTTTCTGCAGACAAACCTCGCAGCTGCAACTCGTATGCTGCTGCTGCTGCTGCTGCTGCTGCCGCTGCTGCTGCTGCTGCTGCTGTTGATGGTGCTGTTGAAGCAGCTGCTGTTGACGGTGTTGTTGATGCTGCTGTTGTTGTTGTTGATGCTGCTGCTGAAGCTCCTGCTGCTGCTGCTGTTGATGCTGCTGCTGCTGTTGCTGTTGATGACGGTGCTTTACATGCTGCTGCTGCCTTTGCTGATGCTGCACCCGCTTTTGCTGTTGCTGCTGCGGCTGCTGCTGTTGGTTGTGCTGCTGCTCTGTCGCTCATGAAGCTGGTGCTATCCTGTTGCTGCTACGTGTATATTTCTGCTGCTGCTTCTGCTGCTGCTGCTGGTCTGGTGTATGCAATATGTGAGTAGAACGTAGGGTTTAGGGTTTAGGGTTTAGGGTTTAGGGTTTATGTTTGGGTGCAGCTGGAGCAATATTATGAACGTGTGGTAGCAGCAGAAGAGGCAGGGCTGTGCTGCTTGTCTCTTGCTGAAGCAGCAGCAGCAGCAGCAGATGGTGCAGCAACAGCAGCAGCAGCAGCAGCAGAATGGGAGCAGCAAAGAGGGTGGCTGGCGTATGCTGCAGGGTTTTTTGCTGCAGCAAAAGAAACAGAGTTGTTTGCTGCTGTCGCACATGCAGAGACAGTCGGGGCCCTTGAGCTGCTGGCGGTTCAGGTTTGCTGCTGCTGCTGCTGCTGTTACTGCTGCTGCTTCTGGTGTCTTGGATGCTGCTGCTGTTATTGATGGTTCTGCTGTTTGTGATGCTGTTGCTGCTGCCTTTTTTGCTGCTGCTCCTCCTCCTGCTGTTATTGTTGCTGTTGCTGCTGCTGCTCCTCCTGCTGTTATTGTTGCTGTTGCTGCTGCTGCTGTTAGTAGTGCTGCTGTAATTGATGCGGCTGCTGTTGCTGCTGCTGCTGCTGCTGTTGCTATTGTCGATGCTGCTTTGCTGCTGCTGCTACTGCTGGCGCTGCTTCTGCTGCTGCTGCTCCTTTTCTGCTGCTGGTATTGCTGCTGATGCTGCTGCTCCTTGCTGCTGCTGCTGCTGCTGCTGCTGCTGCTGCTGCTGCTGCTGCTGCTGCTGCTGCAGCGGGATTTGGAAGTGAAAGGGAATACATGCGGCTGGCTTTCACCGCCTCACAAATTTGTTGGTCTCTCGCTGATGCAAACCATCAGACAGCTTATTTTAAAGTAAACCCTAAACCCTAAACCCTAAACCCTAAACCCTAAGCCCTATGGCCTTGCTCTGAACCCTTGTTCATATTGGAAGCATCGTACCCCTTAGATTACCGGCAGCAAAACATGTAGCGTTCAGGGTTTAGGGTTTAGGGTTTAGGGTTTAGGGTTTAGGGTTTAGGGCTTGCGTAACAGGATGGAGTTTTCAGAAGCAGATCGCCTGAAGAAATTATTTAAGGTCAATGACAGCCGCTACTGGCGCTGCAAGATCGACGCGCTGGCGGATGGGTAGGGTTTAGGGTTTAGGGTTTAGGGTTTAGGGTTTATGGTTTATTGTTTAAGATTTAGGGTTTATTGTTTAGGGTTTAGGGTTTACATGCAAGTTCTTTGTTGCCTTTGCGTAGACCGGCCTAGAGTTTAGGGTTTAGGAATCAGGGCATAGGGTTTAGGGTTTAGGGTTTAGGGTTTAGGGTTTAGGGTTTAGGGTTTGTGTTTAGGCTTCACTTTGACGAACTTCAAGCATTTGCAAAGTTTCGCACATCTCCAATTGGCTATGAGCCCTTCGTTGAGGCTTGTCTACGTAAAGGCAATAAAGAGCTAGCTCGTAAACCCTAAACCCTAAACCCTAAACCCTAGGGCTGTCTACGCGAAGGCACCAAAGAAGGAAGCAAGCAGACAGCAGCTTGTAAACCCTAATCGCAGATTTGAGCAGTGTTTATCTGCTTGCGCATTTATATTCTCCTTAAGGAATAAGGGTTTAGGGTTTAGGGTTTAGGGTTTAGGGTTTAGGGTTTTGTGTTCAGTGCAACTGGCGTACAAAGTAAAAGACGCTGCAGCAAAGGCTCGATTCTTAGCAGCATTAGGCAGAGAAGATGAAGCTGCTGCAGCTCTCCAGACACCGCAGCAGGTACGAGCTGCTGCTGCTGCTGCTGCTGCTGCTGTTGCTGCTCGTGCTGCTGTTGGTCTTTCTGCTGTTGGGCTTGCTGCTGCTGCAGCAGTTATTTTTTTTGCAGCAGTTGTTGCTGCTCCATCTGCTGCTACTTCTGCAGCAGCACCACTGCTGCTGCTTCTGCGATCGATCTTGCTGCTGCTGCTGCTGCTGCTGCTGCTGCTGCTGCTGCTGCTTTATCGATATCTATTTGTTTATTTTTTTTGTTTGTAAAGGGGGTTGGCGGTGGTTTCTTTCAAACAATCTCCGGTGCTATCTGGAGAAGAGGAGGCATCCGTGAATAAATCAATATAAAGCAGCAGCAGCAGCAGCAGCAGCAGCAGCAGCAGCAGCAGCAGCAGCAGCAAACGCTGCAGTACAAGCAGCAGCAGCAAACGCTATAGTTCCAACAGCAGCAGCAGCAAAAGCTGCAGTAGAAGCTGCAGTAGAAGTTGCAGCAAAAGCTGCAGTAGCAGCAGCAGCAGAAGAAGCTGCAGCAGCAGCAGCAGAAGAAGCTGCAGCAGCATCAGGAGCAAAAGCTGCAGTAGCAGCAGCAGCAAAAGCTGCAGCAGCAGCAGCAGCAGCAGCAGCGAGTTGCCGAGTGCAGCGCTTTGTTTAAGTTTGTATATAATTATTTTTATATATCAAATTAAACAAAACAAAAAAATATTGTCTACTGTCTGCTGAGCTGCGTATACACCCCAAATTGAATTATTTCGTTTCCTTAACTTTTATTCAACTTGTTTATAATTATATATTTATAGTA